ATCTAATGGGCGTTTCTGGTATATCCTGCAGGGCATGGCCGGGCTGGCCCATCAAGCGCAGGGTACGGCCATCCGGCGCACAATGATGGTGTACCAAGAAATGCTGTATTACTTTCTTTAGAATCTAATGGGCGTTTTCTGGTACAACCTGCAGGGCATGGCCGGGCTGGCCCATCAAGCGAGATTCCAGCCATCCAGCGCACAATCAGAGTGTACCAGAAAACGCTGTATTACTTTCTTTAGAACCTAATGGGCCTTTTCTGGTACATCCTGAAGGGCATGGCCGGGCCCTTCGAAAAGGTGTGCACCTCTGCAGCGCCGCGAGCATTTACTTTGTAAGGATATCGCAGTGTTTACTTTGTAAGATTCCGGGTGTCTGCAGGACCGCTGGTATCGTGGCAGGACTCTCGACGCTTATCTTCCACCATTCTGCTTGCGCAGGATCTGCAGCCTTTGGGGAACGGATATGATATATACGCTATTGGAGTTTTTGACCCGGCGGATTGCGAGAATCCTCTGGGGTTCGTTGCGCGCGACATCAAGGATCATAGAATGTTTGAGATGGTCCGCCAAAGGTCGGAGATGCCGGCACGGGTGCACCGCGTCAATCAAGGAAGAGGCCGATATGGGCTGTGGGGATTCATGATTGCGATTGCGGACCGCGCATTGTCTCCTGTTGCGGCCTTTAGTACAAGCACCAACATGCCTCATGTTGATCATGCTTTCGATGATAAGATCTGCCAGATTGTGATCAAATGGCGATTCTGATTTGTAACACGTGACAGGTGGCAGCTCGAGAAGAAGCTGGATTATTGGATTCTTTTGTGCGCCGTATTTAACAATTAAATGGATACAATCCTTGGGTACCGCCCGCGGTCGCGCTCTGCAATTCTTGAGATGGATCGTTCTGTGCTACAGAGCGCTCGGTGTGCTATTATAAGAAGCTTTCAAGAATTTGGATTGCTTGAAACTGTTCTTGATGCTGCGGCTCTCGGCGGCATGCGAGCGCTTACCGAACCGCATGACCCAAGTCACATAACCAGAGCGCTCGTGCGAGCATTGATTGCCGAGGGTTTTGATGCCTTCTGGGATAAGTCGGGGTTGAACGGGCCGTACGGTGTGAAAGTGAGTTGGCGAAGCGCCTTGCATCGCGCAACTCAAGCACGACGCCGTGCACGGAAGTTGCGAGTTAGAACGGCACATACAAACGAGCATGATACAGGGGCGTCATCTCCCAAGATTCGCGCAACACCAAGAGCTGACTCCCCATCCTATTCGTGTCGTGCCCCAAGTATCATTTGGGACGACAGCGAGCCGGTTCTGGGGCTCGAGATGCTTGCAAATCCGCTTAAGGCTCGAGTGGCTCACGAAGCCTCTGTAAAAACGTCGCCCAGATAACGGGAATGTGCTATAAGTCCTCAATTCTCATTTTTGTACACCTCCAGTCACAGTATCCAGGGCTAGTGTATTTTGCTAGCAAAATGAACCGCCAGCTTGGAGACCAAGTCGGGTTTTGGAGATCGTTATAACCGTTTTCACTGTTAAAAGCTGCTACCCATCTCAATTTCGTACGATCGATTTTGAACGTGGCCATTCATGGTATCCCGGATTGAGGACGTTCGGATGGTCAAAAAAATCTTAGCAGTATCCAGATAATGTGAAACATGCAAGGGCCCATATAAAGCACGAGACATATAACCACCGTAACACAAGGGGAAAGGCTACTGCGCTCGGCATTCGAGGATGGCACTCGAAAGGGTATATATATATTGTTGACGATTCAACAATATATCAATCATGTCATGCGCTTGTTTCAAGGGTTCAAACGACAACGAGACTTTACCAGCTTCGATTGGATCAAGGATGCCGACGGGATCATCAAGTATTTTCAAGAAGCGTATCCCACAAAGCTATCGATGCGGGCCACTGGAATTAACCCGCTCCTTGTGATAGCGCGCAAAGCGTTTCCCGATGACAAACAGCTGTATGATACCTATTACCAACGGTACTCGGATATTCGAAAGCTCATGGAAGATGCAAAACCTCCTCCCCAGCAGTTGACAGAGCGGGAAGCGGCCAATTGAAAAACCCTGGACCAAATCAATGAACGCCGAAAGGAGCTGCAAAGGCACGTGAATCGCAAGATTCTACACAAGAGGCCCGGAGAATTAAGCGATGAGGACAAATTCGTGCTTTTTCGCCATCTCATACTGTGCCTTTATAGCTATCAACCAGCAATTCGAAATGACTACAGCAACTGTCCCATTGTGCGCTTGAAAGACACCAAAACTGCCGAGGCACGTGAGATCATGTCTGGTTCCGGAAACTATCTCTTGGAGATTGCACAAGACCAATTCCGCCTAGTATTGAACGATTTCAAGACCGTCAAGCACCATGGGCCTACTTCAATCGACATGTCGACACGATGCAACAATGTAATTGCCGAAAGCCTTCAGGTCTTTCCCCGAAAGTTTCTCTTGTCTCACATCAAGTCGCCCGACAAGCCCATGAGTCGAAACTATCTCACCAAGTTTTGCAGCACTGGCCTTTTTAAAGACGCAAGTGTGGGCTCGTGCCTCCTTCGCAAGATCTGTGTCAGCAACTTCTTCAAAGATGCTCCGAGCATTGCCGAGCGCGACGAGCTCGCGCGGAGCATGTTGCACACGGCAACTATGGCACAACGAACCTACGAGAAGAAGTTTAACCCGGATGGAAGTTGCATCCAATTTTGAACGATCCTGGACCTTCCTGTCCATCTGAGATACTTTGATGCTCGTGAATGCATCCAGAGGAAGGGTGGGTGCTTTGATCTCACTCTCCATGTCCATAGAGCTAGTCATCTGGGGCACCTTAAATCCGGCATCCAAAAGACGTCGTGCTGTAGATTTGTGGAGCTTTTTCGTTCGGCCATTTATGAATCTTTGATATGCTTTCCGTAACAGAATTTCGTCATGATGTCTGTAATGGTATGCCCTCATACTTGCGTTGTGCTTTTCTGGGTGAATCTTGGCATATTCTCTGTGTTTTTGACACGCTCGACACGGGCATGGGTTGTGCAATTGTGTTGCATAAGAGGCATCAAAGAAGCTCTCATTCATGTGGTGGACCATTTTGAGTCCTGATGATGTGTGAGATTATATTTGCGATGCTTCAACCGCAACTCGATTCAGGTGCGTTTCTCTGACGTGCTTTTATTTCCTTGTGTGACACAAGGACCTTGGCATGTCTGCATCTGTGAGTGGCGCTCAACAAGCTGGCGGCTCTTGGGCCTCGGCCCCAGGATCTTTCAAAGCCCTAGGCCCTCATGATGTCGATGAGAGGCTTGTGCTTGTTACCCAAGATGGCCGACTTCATGTGCCTGCAGAGAATGCTCCGATTCAGCCTCATAACAAGCAAAAATATTGGTTGGTAGATGCGATGCGAGCTTTATACAAGCAAGGCATGTACACGGTCCCTCTACGGCTTCAGATGATCAGGGGCAAGAAGGATGCAAGCTTCAGCGGCGGCGCCTACACGCCCTTGATGGAGTCGTTGGATGGTTGGAAAGAGAATATCAATGCATACATTGCTCGAGCTTCAACAAAAGTGAATGCTTTGGCTGTACTATGCGGCATATCAGACATCTATGTCGTAGACGTAGACGCAAAGGGAGCTCCGGCCCAAGGGAATAAGCCTGCCAAAGAGGCTGGAATACAGCTCTGGGAGCGCTTGGTAGAGCAGTATGGTGATATTGAGACATTGAAGGCTCGCACCGGATCAAGAGCGGGATTGCATGTGTATTTTAGCGCAAGCAAAACCGTTGGTCTGGTGAAGAACGCCAACTTCTCAGGTGTTGCATATGATAACTTAAAGACATGGGCTATCGATGGCCGTGGGCAAGACGGGATTGCTTTCATCTCTCCATCCAAGTACTACGATGAAAAAAGGACGGAGTACGGCTACCATTGACTTGATTGTGACGAATCAGCACCTCGTGTTGGGATGCCGAGCTGGTTGGTTAGCTTTCTTAACGAGAGCGCATTCACGGAAGAGCCTCATGCTAAATTCCAATCGTCAAAGGCTTTGCCAACGCCTAGCATTGAAGCGAGCGCGCCCTCAAGCATTGTAGGGGGTCCTCCCGACACTAGATTGCCTGGATTGGACGCCGCGCTCAAGAGAATCAAGAAGCTCCTCCAAGATAAAGCGCCAGGGGATCGGAGTCGATTCAGGGGAGTTGGAAAAAGAAGCGCAACGGGCTGGCAAATTCTCAGGTTTAGAACAGTCGGCGTTCGTACATGTTTGAACGGTCACCAACACGACGCGAACCAGTTCAGCATCCTGAGCAACGGGTGCGTTCTCGTCTACCGCTGCCTGAGCCCTGGGTGCATTGATCGACCAAAGCCCCTGTTAGGCATACATTTTTGGCCCGAGTGTCTGCCGCTGAGGGTGGCCGGGGGGCTTTTCAGGGAATACGAACGCTATGTGCTCCCTTTTGAGCCACCCAAAGAAGATGGCAACAAGACGAAGAAACAAAAGGAAGATGACCGCACAAAAAAGACGAAATTGGACCTGCTGAATCTCACAATGCACATCATGAACCACTACTTCGCTGTCATTCGCTCGACAAAGGCAATATACCTTGAGACAGTCTATTTGCGAAATCCAAACGGCCAGCTTCTGCCGGAGGAGACCATCATTCGATCTGGCCGTGACTTCCTCGAAGTATGCAAAAATCTCCAGCTTCAGTGTCTGCCGGGGAATTGCAAGGAGGTTGCCAGATTTTGGGAGAGCAGTTCAAAACGCCGGAAATACGATCAGCTAGTGTTCGAGCCGGATCCATCCAAAATGTCCTCACGGCACTTCAACCTGTTCAGCGGGTTGAAGTTCCAACCAATTGAAAGCAAATTGACGGAGTCAGAGCTCGTAGAGTGCGAGGAACACATGCCAAAGCTCATGTGGCACCTCCGCAACATCTTGTGCGATGGCTCAAGTGAGCGCTTTGACTACACCATCCATTGGATGGCGCATGCCGTTCAAAAACCTTGGAAGAAGATGGGCGTTGCCCTAGTATTTCGAGGCGGGCAAGGGAGCGGAAAGTCGTCGTTGTGGAGATTCTTTGGACGCATGATCCTCGGCGTCAGGTATTGTCTTTACTGCAACCAGATTGAAACGATGATTGGCAAATTCAATTCACTAGGAGCCAACAAGCTTCTCATTGTCTTTGACGAGGCGAGCAATTGGGGCGGAGCATTTCGAATGAACGATCGAATGAAGTCGCTAATCACTGAGGACGAGACGTGTTTAGAGCACAAAGGCCGCGATCCAATCACAGTGCAGGACAAGAGCAACATTGTGTTCACTACGAACAACTACTGGCCTGTGAAACGGGATTCGGATGATCGCCGATATGCTTGCCAGCAGTGCTCTAATGCCAAGATGGGAGACAAGCCATACTTTGATGCACTCCTGGCAGAGTTGGAGAAACCTGAGACTCCATATCACCTCCATCGATACCTGTCATCCATTGACATTTTCCACTGGGATCCCCAAAAAGTGCCGGTCACGGCTTGGGGAGAGGGTTTGAAGGAGCACTCAATCCCACCTCATGTCAATATGATGCAAGCGCTTCTTGAGAACGGCTGCTTCCATCCTTCTTTGGAGACGTGGGTTGCATCAACCGACATCAAGCGGACATTTGACACCTTCTTGCTTCAATTGGATATCAAGGAGGATCCACATACCGATGTCAACATCTTGATGCGCTCTCTCAACTCCATTTTTAATATGAGGCCGCAGGCTCGCTCGATCCAGGGGGTGCGGACCCACAAGGGATGGTGGTTCTCCCCACAGGGCGCTATCTGCGAGGCCCTCCACAAAGGCAAGCTTCTGAGCACGACCGTGGAATGGGTGGACACCTGGCAACGGCACGAATACACCGAAGATGAAGAGGGGCCGTGGATGACCAATCCAGAAGCTTTCAAGAAGCTGATTGGTGATCCAAAAGAGTTGCGGCAATCTGCTGCAGCGCAAAAGTGCTCGTTCTGCTTGAACATTCATCAGTGGGAGGTGAGGAGAGACGCAAATGGGAATGTTGTAACTCGAGACAGAACAAGAGATGATTCTTCTCAAGGCAATTGAGTACGAATCAGCTTATTACTCTCTTATTACCCTTGCCGCAACACACACACACATGAAAGTGCCCATGAAAGAAGCCTTAACCACATATCACTATTACTCTATTACCCTATTACCCACTCAATTGGATATACAGATTGAGTTTTCTCATTACCTATATCACTACATGACAGATAGAACTTGAGGCGATGGGTAATGACAAATAGGGTAATACCAATGATCATCAACGACTCCGCATCATGATTGTACTCTTGTCTTAACGGTCATGTGTGATTGTGTAGGATGAAAAAGAGCATTGAACATGCAATGAAGGGAAATCAATGAAGTGATTCAAGAATGCTAAATAGCTTATTACTCTTTGATTACCCTTACACAACATGCACACACATGACAGTATCCACGAAAGACGCCTTAACAACACATGATGTCTATTACTCTATTACCCTATTACCCACTCATTTTGGATATACAGAGTCTCCTCAACACCCCCGTCACCACATGAAAGAATAGAACTTGAGGCGGTGGGTAATGAGTAATAGGGTAATGAGGCCAATCAGCAGCCCCGTATCCTCTTTATCAGGTCTGTCAATGGACTGTTAGCCTCTCTCCAAAAGACCGCGTACTTTGATCACTCGAACAATGTGTCCAGGATCGTTGTGACACGGCTCATCAACCTCTTGATGCTCGTGATCTGCTGGAGGCTAGCTGCGCATCTCTTTAACCCCGAATTGATGCCCTCCGAGGCTGTCGTGATTGTCCGCTCATGTTGCGGGAAAGAGTCGATGAAGAGTGTCGGAGCACACGTGTGCGTAGCGTAGCGCTTTGCCCCCGATGGCGCGCAGCTGATGGGCCCCGAATGGAAGCGGTCAACGACAAACAGGATGAACTTCGCCAGCTGCGGCACCCGATTGAGGAACCACTCTTGCGCGTTGCACGAAGCGTCCTCCACGACGGTCATGCCTTGCAGCATCTTGAAGGGAAACCGTGTCAGAAGAATCGTTCCGAGGTCCGAGACCGACTCGCCGCCCTTGAGCCAGTGGTACCCAAAGGGCCCGGTCTTGGCAGCACGCAATGAAGATCCCGGCTCGCCCCTTGGAAGATCGTGGGTTGGGGGCGCTGCAGTGCTGGATGAGCCGCTCCTCCGTCGACTGTCTGCCGCGGCCTTCCTCACCTTCCCAATCAACGAACCGAGGCCGGCCATACAGCAGGGGGTGGAAGGAATAGGTCGAGACAACGCCGACCCGCTCCGCGTAAGTCGTCGACGGCGCTCGAAGGAAGCCGCCCTCTTCGTAGCAATGGGGCTCACGAACCTCCAAGTCGAAGAGGAGGGAGTTGGCAGTGTAACGGTACGGAAGCCGACCGCCTTAGCCGCTCGGCTATGCATCCAAAAAGCTGTCGACTGGATGCACACTAAGGCGCTTCCGTAATTTATATATCGATTTCGCGTCGGCCGTCCGCGCGTCGCGGCCGGGTTATCGCGTCGATTTTCGTTCCGCTTCGGAC